TTGATGACAAGAGAGCTTCTATTTTGTATGAGACTGGAGTCCAATTCTTCACATAAATGTTATTGATGCAGGATGGATATCCCTTTGCTTCTCTTCTAGTTTCAGTCTTAAGAGAGGAGGCCTGCATGGCAATAGCTAGTGGAGATAAGGATTGTGAACCTTTGGAGCTAGACCTCAAAAAYTCCTGTTGGACATCTTACTGAAAGTTTGAATTTAGCCAATTGTGTTTTTATTTCTCATCTGGCAGGTCTCAAGCTCTATCTTGCATATGGTATATGTCGTATGTGTTATCTAAAATTTATGTCAGATTAGTCCATTAGACCAATTCTTAAAAATAGCACATAAAAGTTACTTTTCAGCCTAGAAAAAGCCAGTCTGATTCAGACACATAATTTTACTACTTATGATTCTGCATATAGAATCTAGTCCATTTGGACAATTCTCATCTGACAAGCTGACAGCATTTCACAACGTCCTGCATTATTTATTTTGACTGAACTACTCTCTTGCTGAAATGATCTTGACTTCWTTATGGTCCACCTGTTTTAACTCCATCAAAATTATTTTGAGTACAAGTCTGCTCATAATGTGTTCTACATTCCTAATTCAAATATAYTGAGAGAAACAACTATTAGTCAATTCAGTGGAAACAAAAATTGGGCCAAGAAGAAGTGAACACAAATTTGAAATTTCTATTAATACAGTGCTTGGGGCTCTAAAATAAAAGAGATTTAAACTGACACTATTTGAAATAAATAATAGCTGTTTGGACTAAGGTTTTGAAGGAAAGGGTAGACAGCAGTTCTATTGCATACTGAGGTGATGAAGAGAAACAAATAAGCCACATATCTGCTTTCTTCTGCAGTAGGGACAACCAACCAGGTGGAAGTTATGGGCTGCAAATCCCATATCTGAATATGTCTGAAGCCTTGAATGAGAGATATGTGTGATTTAACCACACAAGWTATAAAAGCTAATTCTGCAATAGAGATATTGCCTCACCACGTATAGTAACTGGTTCTCTGCAGGGCAAACATTCCCATTTAAATAGTGTCTGTTGYGTCAGTAGTCTCCACAGCCTGGCTAAGGAGCTCTTACAAGTTTCTAGTACTAAGTTTTCTTTAGTCATCAGAGAACTAGGCCTATCTGATGYCAGTTCCATTTTAAGATGATAAATTCAGCCATGCGTTGGAAATTAGAGTGCTTAGTCCAGTGCTGCCAAGCCTATGTGGGGAACAAGCACTGGAAAGAGATGTAGACAGGAGGCAAACTGCTGTGCCTACACCCATCTCTCTGACAGGTCAGCTTTTCATTCCAAAGGTCCACCTTTGGCTGAAAATACTTTAAACAGAAGATTCTGGCCATTCTTACACAGTCACAGTTGTCAAGTCCTAACAGTTGAGGTTGAATTTGGTCCCCATGGTATGCCAGGAAAATATCACATTTCTACTTTATGCCACTTAGTCACTACAGTTGTTCAAGGTGCCAAGGAAGAGTTAGAAATAGCTAGAATGTACAAGTGCTTTGACCATGAGGTACTCTTATTCTTTCACAAATCTGATGTAAAGGTTGAGATCTCCAGATTATTCCCAGACAGATCTGAGACATGTTTCTGCTGGTGAAATTAATTCAGAGCTAATTCACTATAGAACTTGGATTAAGCACATTTCTGAGATGCAATGGTGCACAGATTTAAATAACACTAAGTTCATCTCTTGCTCCGCTTGCCTTGTGCACAATTACTCCTCCACATATAAGGTAAGTTACAGAACTTGACATKCTAGTTCTTCTTGGCACTTGTGCAGTACTCTTGCAACATCTTTGGGCTTCCCACCAGGAGTTGAGACACAATTTCTGGCTTAATAGACAGCTTTCAACTGATTTTGAAAGTTTTCTGTGCTTGCTGCCAGCACATCTCAGTGGAGCATCAAGTTTCAAAAACTAAAAAAGACTAACTAGTATTATCCTGCTATTCCCTTTGCCATTTTGGGATTGCTTTCCCAAAGCTTTTTGTTTTTTTTTATTTTTTTATTTTTTTTAATATTTTGAGGTTTGTGCCAACAACTAGGCACACTAAAACCACARCAATCTAAATTAAGATTTCACCACACAGAATGTGTGAGAATAGTTGCAAACCTTCCATTACATCCTTAATTTCCAAGGCCATCATCTGCCTTCTSTCTGTGTGGTTGGAGGAGGCAGGGCAGAAGTGAACGACCCTTAGGAAGTTTCCTCACCRGTTCCTACATTTCTCTGCCTACCGTGCACATACCTCCAAGAGAGCAATACAACTGGGATGGCAGCAAGTACCGCCATCTCCTCACAGTTATGTGATACTTCTTGATGCTATTCTCCCCTTCTCAGTTGATATCAGGTCAATAGGAGATCCTACTGTCTGTCTCATCCTTGACAAAACAAAAATGAAGGAGACAGAGGAAGGATTAACAGAGGAAAGAGGATAGAAAAATAACTGGCACTGGCTATGTCTGTGATATGGAGGAAAAAAAAATTCTTGATAGCCATACCAAGTCCTATTTTTCTGCTTCTGGAGTGACCAGAGAATTACAGCACTACAGAAAATGAGAGGTAACTGGAATGTCAGTGTTGACCCAGGAGAACGGAGCTGGGGAYTCACAGTGGGGTGTGAGAAATGAGTGGGTTGGTGAGGAAGATCCAGAATAAGAATGGTTTAGGAATACTATGCAAATGGAGGATATGGGGTGGGGGGGGGAGAGAGAATACAGAATTTGAAACACATAGACCAGGAATTCCTATAGCGCACTATCTCAATAGCTTTCATCACGTCTTTGATTTCAGATATGTTTTTCTTTTCCCCTTTCTTTCCAGTGATAAACTGCCATTGTAAGGGACTTGTTCCTTTACCTTGCTGCCTTGATTACTGTCAAAAGTAAAGCAGCCTTAAGCAATTAGCAGCAGTTGCCCTGTGTTGAAACAATGAAACTGCTGAGCAATYGGGATAGGCTCATTGTTACGAGAAAACCAGCGCTATGATAATCCAGACCACGAACTCTGAATTCACTGCCAGAGAATTACTGGTTAGTATRTTATCAACCTCAYTGTATTTCATGCTGGAAACAATTCATCCAGTGTTTCACAAAATCAATTTCTTAGTCTCTCAGTCATACACATATATGTCAAACACTGAAAATCTCACCAGGGTCTGGTGAGAGCAGAGATGGGATTCAATCTGCTGCCCATCAAGACAACTCGTGTGGCCCACTCTTCTGGGGGCAATTTGGCATACCAGACACATTCTTTGAGGCTGGTAGTAGCAGCCATCTCCCAAGAGTCCAAGACTCCAGTATGACACAATGGCCACAGAAGTACYTAACAGGGAAGGCAAGAGTGTTCATGCAGCTAAAAGCCAAAAGAGATATTTATTGTCTGTCTTGACTTTTCAGATAGCCTCAAACCACATATTTCTCTTTACTGTTTGGAGCTTGGAATTTGACAAGACATCATTGAGTTCAGAAAGTCAGGAGATTAACTGCCATGATACATTTCGACTACTGTGAAAGTGAGGTTCACTGACTGTTGTAAAATTGTAAGCCATTGTTTGTCTGTAGTCAGCAAAAGCCACAAATTTTTGCTTCAACTGTTTAATCAACTGTTCTCTCTAACTGTAGTGAAGATTGGTGAGTGAAACCCCAAGGGATGTGCTTCTATTCCGTTGTCCCAGAAGATCATCAGAAGCACTCCACAGTTGTTTAGAGCTCATGAAACCATTCTCAAACATCTCCCTTGACAGCTACCTCACTTCCCAAGAAGTCTCTTTTCCAGTTCCCCCTCCACTCCACTTTTAGACAGTCACTCAAGTTCTGCACAGCTATGTGCAGGGACACTGTCACTTACCCACACCCAGGTGTACTCATGGGGAAAGGCTTCCACACTACTCTATTTCTTCATGGCATTTATCTCTCCCCAACAATCTTTGCCTTGTAGGGCCACTCACTTTGGCAAGTCTCTTAAAGCAGTAATTTCTGCTCTTATTTGAATTTACTTACTATTTCCACAATATCCAGGGTTTGCTTTTGTAGCTCCTTTCATTCGCCAAGTTTCTAAGAGATGATTGTTCCTTCCAGCAATGAATTCACCACCTAAGGATCTAGAGGTTTCAAGTGTRAAGTGAATTGATGAGGTACAAAAGCACAGGCTCTGCCTCTTGCCCCGTTCCAGCCTAGAGCATCATGGGGCTGAGGAAGCCTGTGTGTGAGTGTGGAGAAAGAAACACCAAGYTAACTCCAGCTAGTCCAACAAACAGGACCAGGTTTGAAGCATGGTGAGGAAGTACATGTGAAAGCGTCCACATTTATCTTCTTAAGCAAGCCCAGCAAACAGCTAATTTCATTTAGTGACTCCTGAAGGGTGCATCAATGAATATAAGTGTTTTAAGAGGGTGATGCYAAGAGAATGGAGCCAGGCTGTTCTAAGGGTGCCGAGCAATAGGAGAAGAGGCAGTAGGTGGAAACTGAAGCACAGGAAGTTCTACTTGAACAKGAAAACTTTACTGCACAAATGACTGCACATTGGAACAGGTTGGTCAGACAGATCGTGCAGCTTCCCTTATTGGAGAGATWCAAGAACTGTCTGGACACAACCCTGTGCCATATGCTCTGGGATGGCGCTGCTTGAGCAGGGAGGTTGGACCAGGTGACCCACTGCGGTGCCCTCCAACACCACCGACTCTGAGAGTCTGTGATTCTGTGCTCTTCCCAGTCTAAGCCTTGCTGCCTGACCAAGCTGGTCACAAGAAGCGATGAGGGGACGGCAGGCCCGCCGCCTCGCTGAGGGCCGGGGGGAGCCGGGGAGCTGAGGGGAGCCGGGGAGCCAGGCCGGGGGGAGCCGGGGAGCCGGGCCGGGGAGGAACCGGGGGGCTGAAGGGAGCCGGGGAGCCGGGCCGGGGGGAGCCGAGCCGCGCCGCCCTTGCCGGCCGCAGGGGGCGCTCCGGGCCCGGCCGGGCCCGCCCCTGGTGGCGTGGGCGCAGAGGCGGAAGCGGCGGCGCGGCCATGGCGGCGGCGGGCGTGGGGCAGCAGTGGGTGCTGGTGGAGATGGTCCAGGCCTTCTACGAGGTGCGGCCGGGCAGCGGCGTGAGGGCGGCGTGGGGCTCGGGGAGCGGCGAGGGGTCGCCGGGGCTGCCCGGGGGCCGCGGGCGGGGTGGGTGCTGAATCGGGAGCTGGGTGCGGGTCAGTGCCCCGGGGGTCGGGCTCCGCTCGCCGAGTCGTGAATAAATGAGTGCTCCACGGCTACGTAGTGAAAAGAATATCGTCCTATYTGTCCAAGTTTATAAAGCGACATTTAAAGTGTGTAGCAGAGCATTGAGCGTTAGGTTTCACAGTATTTCACCGGGGTCAGGGTGTAACATAAAAGTTTGCGAAGGAAACTTGTTTGCAAAGAAAAAAGCAGCGTTCAAATGTTTAGGCTTGAGTTCCGTCCTGGAGGATATCAGCTGGGTATGTTTGTACACAGGCTTTGTTTCATTATGGTATAAAGGATGTCCTGATGATAGGCGGTGTTTTGGCGTCCCTTCCTTTGGCAAAGGGTGGTAACTTTTTAAGAATATGTACAAGGATTTGCAGCCTCAATGTAGACGTGCTCAGCTAATGAAGCAGGCAGCACGCTCTAGTGCACTGAATCCAGGATAATTGGAGGGACTGAAAAGCTGAGAGACTTCAGTGGGAGTATACTGTGTGTTGTTTAGATGTCACGGTGTATGTATGCGCTCTTAATATGTTTAGTAAACTGAAAAATGCTCTGCAATAGATAACATTTGTTATTTGCAGCTTGGTGTGCTGTAGGACTCTTGACTGGTTTTAAGAGCTTGTATCCAGTTTGCTTCAGTTTCTGTATGTGTTGTAAGTTCCACTCTGTTGGYAGTTAAGATACCACCAAAAATGTCAATATGTGGGAGCAATTCTCCTGACTTGAAGAGGGAGTGTGCTTGTTTGTGTGCACTTTGAGTCTTTAGAAAGTAATAKACAGGAGCCTTTCTGACATGGAATAACTAAACTCATCATTAATACTAGGTGCCCAGTGCTGATCCCATAACTCCATATCTGTGTCAAACTAGCTGTGCTGCCAGAGGAAGCTGACTTTTATCCCCAGTGTACCCAAGGAGCCTGGCTTTAACTTGGATCAACTCTTGTGTTCTGGTTTGGTTTGTGTATTCCCACACATTGTGTCCACCCATGAGAGTAAACTACTTGAGGTGACTTGGTTTATACCTGATCAGAGTACCTGTGAAGCTGACAGAAGTTGGCTGTAAGAACAGAATTGASTTTTTTTTGTAAATACTACCTGTCTCTGCTGGTGGATTCTAAGTTGCAAAATGGAGGGTTGAGGTGTCTGTGTATAGATGACACAGACCTTCAGGCTCTTAGAATACTTCTGCTTGTTTTAAAAGCCTATTGCTTTCACAGGTGCTGAGTGGTGCAACCTGTATGACTTAACTCCCTTTACTCTCAGTATTCAAATTATGTGTGGAGCTGAAATCAATCATCTGTTTAGAACATGCATTTTTTATGAACAACAGATGAAATCCATTCAAACTCAAATTAACAGTTGCAAGTAGTAGCTGCAAAACATTCAATTTCATGTAGTTATCATTTTTACTGATATATAGAAATATATCCGTAAAATATATATGTAGTTATCATTTTTACTGATATATAGAAATATATCAGGTGATTATCTGCTTTGGCTTTTTTTTCTGCATGTCCTATCAGGGACAAAATGGTTGTGTTGTATCACACTACTTCAAATAGAATTCTCTTTAGACTAATTTTTGTACTTTTGTTTTCAGGCTCCTGCTTACCATCTCATTTTAGAAGGAATTCTAATTCTATGGATAATCAGACTTCTTTTCTCCAAGACATACAAGCTTCAAGAACGATCTGATCTAACACTTAAGGTATGGTGAAAAAGTATTTTTCTTTAGAGATATTTGACTGTTGAACCACTGCTGCCTTATAAATGGTGCTGCTTTTTTTTTCTTTGACTTCAAAAGGTGAGCTTACTTTTGACTCAAACTGCTTGTTGCTTAAACACGTCAATTTGTACTTTCAAAATAGCACTGTGTTTGAGAGCCTGAGAAATAAGATTGGTATGACAGTGACTGTTAAGCTATGAAAAGCTGTCATTAGCTGCACTCAACTGAGGACTTTATTTTTTAAATGAAAGCTATGTTAAAAATATCCTGCCAAACAAAATTAACTGTAAAACTGCAGTGGTCTAGCTGTATATGTGGTGTCTGTGAGTAATAACTCTGAGAGTTTACAGTGGGTTCCACAAAAATYGTAGTTTAGTAGCAATTTTCTTCTTTTGCATTGTTGTTGTCCTGAGAAAAGAAGACAACTGAAATTTCTTCCTGACTTCTGGCAACAGACTATCAGAAATAAGGAGAGTTTGTTTTGAAGATGTCCCTGAGCTAGTTTATTTGAGCTTCAAAGTAGCGGTATCCTTTATAAATAGAATAAAATACTGAAATTTCTTCATGGTACTAACGTAAGTCTATGAAACAGATTTGTGGGTATTTTTAATGTGTATGTGTAATTGCTATCTGTGTCATGCACTTGCATGCTTTTTGATCTTATTCTCACTAAGGATGCACGTTAATGATATGTGCTTAGCGTGATTCATCAGTGAACAGGATGCAGGGTCTGTGGACACTTGTCTAAAAAAGTGAGCAAAACTGCAGGCAGTGTCCTCATTTAAAGAGCACTTACTAGATGAGCTTAGAATGTTCGAGGGAGCACTTTAACAGGTGTTGATTGAGACAGACAGCATGGTTTCATGAAGGACAAATCCTGCCTGACCAACCTCCTAGCCTTCTCTGATGAAGTGGCTCCACCAGTGGACAAGGGAAGGGCTACAGATGTCATTTATCTGGACTTGTGTAAAACCTTCGATATGATCCGCCTCAACACCCTTCTCTCTAAATGGGAGAGAAATAGATTTGATGGGTGGAGTGCTAGGTGGATAAGAAAGTGGCTGGATGTTCTCACCCAAAGGGTAGTGGCCACTGTCTCACATCCCTATGGACATCAGTGGCAAGTGGTGTCTCTCAGGGATTCATCCTGAGAACAGTGTTGTTTAATATCTTCATTAATGCCATGGAYGATGGGTTCAAGTGCAACTTCAGCAAATTTGCAGATGATACCAAGCTGAGTGGTGTGGCTGACACACCTGAGGGAGCAAGCTCGAAAAGTGGGTCCATGGGAATCTCAGGAGGTTTAACAAGACCAAGTGCAAGGAGCTACACCTGGGTCAGAGCAACCCCCGATATCAGCACAGKCTGGGGATGGACAGATCAGAGCAGCCCTGGGGAGAAGGACTTGGGGGTGCTGTGGGTGAGAGGCTGGACATGACCCGGCCATGGCACTGCCAGCCCAGAGAGCCAAACATGTCCTGGGCTGCATCCAAAGCAGCGTGGGCAGCAGGGGAGGGAGGGGATTGTGCCCCTCTGCTCTGCTCTGCTCTGCTCTGCTGAGACCCCACCTGGAACACTGCACCCAGCTCTGGGGCCCAGCACAGGAAGGGCAGGAACCGACTGGGAGAAAAGTCCGGAGGGGGCCACCAAGATGATCAGAGGGGTGGAGCATCTTACCTATGAGGAAAGGCTGAGASAATTGGGATTGTTCAGCCTGGAAAAGAGAGTGCTGTCTGGTGACCTAATTTCAGCCTACCTGAAGGGAGCCTACAAGAGTAATGGAGAGAGATGTTTTCAGGAGCATATAGTGACAGAACAAGGGTCATTGGCTTCAAAGTGAAAGAGAGCAGKTTTAGATGATATATTAGGAAGGAGTTCTTTACTGTGAGCATGATGAGGCACTGGCATAGATTGACCAAAGTCGTTTTGGATGCCCCAAACCTAGAAGTGTTTAAAGCCAGATTGCATGGAGCTCCRAGTAACCTGGCCTAGTGGAAATTTTCCCTACCAATGTCAGGGATATTAGAAACAAATGGACTTTCATGTCCATTCCAACCTAAACGCTTCTGTTATTTGAAGGCGGGAAGCAAATCAAGCAGGAAACAAAAATGGACAGTTCAGTTTTGTGCTTGGAAGAGTTTTAATTGATCCTGAGATACTTAAGTTTGCAATCTTTGATAAGAATACAGAGGAGCAATGAGTGCAAAGGGAGTCCCAGTGCGGTGTTTGTATCATCTAAGAAGGCACATTGCAGCTTTAAAGTAGCCCCTGRTTGTCCATCCAGAAACAAATACAGTTCATTTAGTAGAGTTTTCCTGCATCCAGTAGTTTTCATCTCCATTATTTTGGAGGATAAAGGGTTTTTTTTTTTGTTTTAAACAGTCATTGTCTTTGCAGTAGATGGCAGGAAAAGKCTCTTTGCAACTCTTGGGTAACTGGTGACTCAAAAAGATGAAAACTGTCTTTTCCCTACAAATTAAGAAATTATGTCATATATCTCTATATGCATTTTATCATGCCATTCATCATCTTCATTCATGACAGACCATTTTGCTGAAGCTGAGGTATTTAAAAAAGTACTCAGACAAATCTCTAGTAATGCTGCATGAGAAAGGAAGTTTTTCTGTCTTCTCAACTTSGGGTAATAAACAACTGGGAGATTGCACATGTAGCCAGTGTGCTACAGCTCAGTGGAAGCAAGGGTTTAGAAGGATGTCAGAAGGGGGAAAACCATGGAAATGGTTTATGCTTAAATAACCCTACTTTTGCAGGATGACAGTATTAAAATGCACTGTCAGGCCATCAATTGGCAGACTTTCTGAAAAGTAGAAACATGCAAATGTTGTTGCTGGGATACTTCTGATAAGATACAAACTTTACTGAGGTGGAAGGCTGAAAAGGAATGTCAATACTAGCAAAAATCCAAACTGATCAATAATTACCTTGTATATAGACTAGATACATTGTTTCACATTATAAGTTACAGAAGCAAAGCGTTAGARAGTGCTGTGAGCTGTATTGTTGCAAAGGGTTTGAAGGTTAAAGACTCCACTGACTTGTTGTTACCTTTATCTTGATGGTGAAAAAGAATAGCATGGGTGTATTCTCTTTGTTCTGATTCAATGTTCAAGTTGGCTAACCATGAGGGAGGTGCAAGTTAGAGCGACTGACTGGCATGCCCATTATTTGTCCCTTGTTATTTGACCTTGAAGTTGGAAGTAGTGGTTTCTTTAGGAAGAACTCTATTTGGAAGGTAATGTCTTGATATTTCACTGAAAGTAAGCACAAAAGCAAGCAGTGTAGTTAGTGTGGATAATCTGCAGTTGGAGGAGCTAAGGAAACTGATATATCAGAGTTCATGGAATGATTTCATTTCTCTTTCTACAGTGTAGCTAATTCTAGAGCCTCCTGTATTTTGTGTAGAGGAATAGCTACAAACACAAAGAGACATGACTTCTCCTTAAATGTCACTAAAAATCTGCAGATAATTGACACTAGTGTGACACYGTGTTGTGGATTAACTCCAGTAGGCAGCTGAACGTTGCATAGCTGCTCACAAAKCAAAGGAAGAATAAAAGCAAGAAAGGTTGTGAGTGAATATAAAATTATTTAATAAGCAGAGGAAAATGGAAGAAGACAAACTAGACAAGTGATTCAAAGGTGGTCACTCACCACCTTCCATGGATGGACCAATATCAGTTCGCAAACAAAATTCATTAGAACCCGTCTTCTCCCTTTTATTGCTGTATGACATCATATAGTATGACATCTATCTTTGGTTAGTTCAAGCCTGATTATGTCCCTTCCCAATCTCTTGGGCACCCACCAGTCTGTTCACTGTGGGGACAGAGTATGAAACAGAAGGCGCGAGTTCTGTGCAGAGGCTGTTCAGCAACAGATACACCTTTAGTGTGTTACCAGCATTGTTTTGTTCACAGACATTAAACACATCACTATGTGAGCTGCTATGAAGAAAATTRCCATCATCACAGCCAGACCCCACAGTATAGTCCTTTTCACGTGAAGTGGGATCCCATACAGCTAGGCTTCTTGTGTGTGTGTTTTCATCTATGTGTAGAAACATGCCAACTGTTCAGCAAGGAGACTGCTGCTGATTTGCCTTCTGACTTGTTTAAGTCGTGCTGTCGTGCCCAGTCTTTACCACACCAGAAAGAAATACTAGGTTGCTCAGGTGCAGCCGCTGGAGATAGGCCTGCTCAGATGGTAGAGCACACCTTTATGGCAGCCACTCATGTAATGGTGTGTGAAGTTTCTTTGTGAATTATTGTTGGGAATGCTGCCAGAGCAGAGCTGGCTCCATGTAATAAATATTAATGAAGCATACAATTATTGCACAGCTGTTCTGGTGATCTGTTAGGACGAGTCAGTCCTGGGGAAGGAGAAGCAGATGATATATTGTGCAACCTAATGCTCTTAGGAGTCATGCTCCTGAAATARTGAAGAAAACCACCCTGAAGGTGGCTTTTAGGTTCAGTCAAATRTGTAGCAAGAATGCTACGAAATCCAATGCAGAAATCACCTTTCAACTGACAGACTCTTATGCTTTGATAACAGTGTTTGTAAGTACTCCTGATGGTTCTTCTAGAAAATATCCCCCAAATCATTAACTAAAAAAGTGGAGGGCTTCTCTGATACTGTAAGTTCCTGATAGTTTGACATTTTGAGAAAYATAATTAAGTCTGTAGCCATACAGGGTGCTTTTGAACAAAGTAAAAACTGTAGAAAGTGACAAAGTGACAGTGAGGACTGGAGTAGGCTGTGGAAGTTTGTGTGGCAGGATTTAGCTCTGTGTGGAAGGGAGGTGCCCTACTGGGCTATTTGTCTTTTACTTGGCAGTAAATGATAATGGTAATAGAGAGATTTTCTCTCAAAATCTCTGAAGTACTGCTGAGATGGTACGTCATATCTTACTATTTGCAAGTGGGAGGAATAGTTTTTTTCTTTGGTTTTAGAATTTCCACTGCAGTAGTAGCATGGGACRTGTTTTGAGTGATATTAGCCAGGGTGCTGGTAAGTTCCTGCCGGAGATAAATGTTTAATGTGTGGCTGAGAAATACATAGACCTTGAGAGCTCTRTTTTGCAAACAGCATTCGTAGACTAACCAGATGTTGTACTACAGGAAATAGCACATATAGTCTATTCTTTRGAGTCTATTCTTTTTGGTAATTCTGAGCCAAGATTCCCTATGTAAGTAAAATTTCTCTTATGCATGAGCATACATACATACTTTGAAAGCAAGACATTTCTAACTAATTAAATTCTTCTAATTAAAGACTTGTTATTGGAGGATGAGTAAACAAAAAAATTTATGAAACTTAGGATATTAATGCAGAGTACGCATATATGACATTGTTTCCGAGCACTAATGCTTGCCTAGAACYGTCTCCATGAACAAAATTGCTACCTTTTCTTTAGAACCTGGGTAAACAAGTGAACTTTTAAAATAGATTTGGGTTGAATGTGTTTACAAACCAAGTATTTCCCTACCCAAGGTATATGGCAATTATAAAGTAAAATCTACAATAGAATACAACCGCCCAAAACCATTGTGTATATATATATATRTGTGTGGGTACCTGTGTGTATTTGGATAAGTAGATTTAAGATGTTTTATATATAAATATGCACACTTCAATGCAGGATTCTGCTACATGTAGAGTTAGGYTTCAGAGAGCCAAAAGGGATACTGGGGCTGGAAAAGTCATGCCTAGGTGGATCACAGCAAAGTACCAACATTGCTACCTCCTCACCTTTTTAATCTGAGACACCCATGGAGGTGGGGTCTTTGGCCTCAGCACCAAACTTCCACTATGCTTTGGGTTAGGGATCAGRGAGCCAGAAAGCCTAAAGCTAAATGTATAAAAAGGGATGTATATTATAATTTATAAAATATAATTATGTGTATTTAATAGATTATATTGTTATTTTTGTTGTATATTAAGCATAAAAGAAAATATATACATTTTATAATTTTATTTATATTTTATTTATTGCTTATATAAATTAAAAATAAGGGCAAGAGGATATTTTCAATGCAGCAGACTAAGGATAAATAAGCAAATAATCCACATATTGAGGATGTTACAATGTGAATTAAAAATCTGATTTCCCTGTGTGTTTGAAAATTAAGCTTTTTTTTAATTGATATTGGTGTGAAATTTGATCTGTTCAGGATGTAGAAGTGCTCTGATGTTGTGTTGTTGCATAAAGTCTGTTTCTGCCCTGTCCTTTTGTTCAGAAGCAGATGGTCGTGTTTATGGTGAACAGTCCGCAGGACAGGCCAGCATTCTGAGGTCTTTGGTGAATGAAAGGAGGAAGGGATTTGCACTGTCCCTGACTGCTGTGGCACTTTTAGGTTGATTGGTTCTCATTTTATTCATCGATGTCTCCAATCCACTCCTGTGCTAAGAACTGGTGGAAACAGAGTACATAAGATGTGAATATGCAATTTTTTGTAAATATCCATTGTAAAGGAAAATGYTGTGTGATGGATGAGGAGGATGAATGTGAGCTAGATTAGTGAAATGGTGTTGTTTGAAATGAGGGTTAGACTTCTCCTGTATATTCTAAGTTGTGTTAAGAGGAAAACCAGGTGTCTCATCTGTGGTTTGTGACCTATGCTATTAGTTTGTGTGCAGGAAAGATTTGAAAGCAAAAAGTGGAAACTTCTTAGAAATTAGTATGAAGAGGGGATAGAAGTACTAATTAGGAATTGCTCATTGTCTTTATGTTAATATGTCAATTACAATTGGACTGCGTTAATTTATTGCAGTTACGGTGTCCATCTATAAATACTATTTTTTTACTGCTAAACTCCTTGAGAAAAATATTTTAATTGAGCTTGTGTCATCAGTTGCTAAACTWTTCAATGACATCTTAGCTAAAAAAAATGATTCTTTAATGGAAAAGTTAAGTACATTCTTACACAGTTTTAATTCGGCCTTCTTGATGAAAAGGAATTTTATCTTGCCTGSTCTGCCTCAAAGTTGTTTAAAGAGTCTCTGAGTCCAGATCTCAAACAGAAGAAATGCCATGCTTCCTAAGTCCTTCCTTCCTAGGCACTTGATGTCAACTAAAGGTTTTCTTATTTATTCTTCCACCAATTATGGGCTGCCCACTTCTCACCTGCATAATTAAGGCTAAACCGGACAACCCCCCCCAAACCCCAAACCAAAATGAAACACAACAAAAAACCTCACCAACCTGTGCTCCAAAATGAGCTCAAAACCTCTTGATTCTAGATACATTATACATTAAGTGTTTGGAGTCCTTCAATAACAACTACACTGTAGAAGCGGAATGATTGTCAGAACTCTTTTTGAACCCTTGCGGAAAAGCATAATATACTACTGGGCAACTGCAACTCAGGATGTGTTTTCCCAAGAGCATCAGCCTCTCTAGGTTTGGGTTGGGACTCTTTTGTTGTGGGTTCTAGTTTAGATATACAACCCATCCTGCTTTTGCTGAGTTGGTTTTCATCTGGATCTGAATAAGGTTTTTGTATGATTTTGTAACTGCTTCTACCAGCACAAGGAACAGGAATGTGTGGCTGGGAGATGACTGCACTGAGCAGCTGCTGGCTCGTACTCTTAGTGTAAAATTGTGTCTTTGATTTTTTATTTTGCCCCCAGTAGTAATATGGTACAGAGATACATAAACACACTAGTGCTGTGAGACAAGGATGGAAGTGTCTCTCTCTGTCTGGGGCTATAGTTGTAGTTCCACTCTGAGATTAACCTGAATTTGGGTACTACTTCAGAAATTAATGTGCACTTAGTATTCCTTCATGGTTAGGTGCGGAATGTGTGGTTGAGTAGTTTCTTGAGCACTTGACAGTTTYTCTCCAATGTATCCTTCTCACATGTTTGTTCCTATGCTATGTATTTTAATGCCACTGTTGAAACAGAACTGTTGAAGGCTTGAGAATGTAAAGGAGGCAATCTAAATTTTTATGTAATTCATATTCAATTACCTAAAATCTCGAGGAGGATTTTTGTGTTTAACAGGTTGAATGAAACAGTATTGATTAAAATTTGGCCGAGATATCATGTTAGTATCTCATCTCTTTGATTATCATATAAGATCTTTAATACACAGACAAATCTGGTYTATGTTTCTTAATATCTTCCTCCCTTTCAGATTTCATAATTCTGTGTCTTTCATTTGAAAATCCTGAGATAGTATCAATTCTAAGTGTCTCAGAAAGGTGACATATACTAGCATACATGATTTCTAATATGATTGTTATCAACTGTTTATTAGTCCATAATGTATTTTCTAGGGGAATCCCCTTCTCAAACAGTATTTTTTTTCTCCTGATCAGGAAAAAGAGGAGTTGATTGAAGAATGGCAGCCAGAGCCTCTTGTTCCTCCTGTGCCAAAAGATCACCCAGCTCTCAATTACAACATYGTTTCAGGGTAAATGTAACCAAAATAAATTCTGTTTCTTATTCCAACTCAAATATTTTTAAGCATATTTGCTTGTTAAGTATTTCCATATCCTCGAAACCTTTCATAAATTAATTGCATTTTTTAGAGAGCAGGACTGAATTTGCCTCTGAAAAGGTCTTGGTTTTGTAACATGATCAAGGYTATGTTAGTAAGAAAATGTTTCATATTTAAATGTTGTCGTTAATTGTTCTTTCCAGTGTTAGGGGTGAGAGAAGGAATGTGGTATTTTTGCTTTCATTATGGTTCTGTATTGTTTGGTGCAATTAGTTTAATTTTTTTCTGGAAATGTGGACTAAGAACTCCAAAAATGGATAACAACTTCTTACATCATCAGAAATCAGTTCAAAAGAAACTTCTTTTGTGTATAGCTGCTTGTCACTTTGCTGTTTTTTAACGCCTGGCCAGCAGCCAAGGGTTTAACCCAACCCCGTGCAGCCACTCACTCATTCCCCCACCAGTGAGACTGTGGAGAGAATTGGAAGGGTCATGGGTTGAAGTAAAGACAGTTTATTAGGGAGAGCAAAAGCCATACACGCACAGCAAAGCAAAACAAGGAATTAATTCCCTGCTTCCCATGGGCAGGCAGGTGTTCAGCCATCTCCAGGAGAGCAGGGCTCCCATCTCATGTAGCAGTAACTTGGGAAGACAAATGAAATCACTCCAAAAGTGCCCTCCTTCCTCCTTCTTCCCCCCACTTTATATCCTGAGGATGATGCCATATGGTCTGGTATATCCCTTTGGTCGGTTTTGGTCACCTCTCCTGGCTATGTCTCCTCCCAGCCTGGCCATGTGCACCCCCAAATTCCTCACCATTGTGGCAGTGCAAGAAAGCGGGAAAGGCTTTGGCTYTGTGCAAGCCCCGCTCAGCAATAACAAAAACATCTCTGCATTATCAACCCTGTGTTCAGCACAAATGCAAAACACAGACCCATACTAGCATTGTGAGGAAAATTGACTCTACCCCAGCCAAATGCAGCACACACATCATGAAAAGTTGTTTTTCTTTGGACAATCAGAATTGAAAATGCTGGATGGTAAAGCTGTTTTGTGAGGAAATTTAGGGCTCAGTGTTACTTAGAGCTCAGTGTTACTTTCTTGTGTATTACAAGGCTTTTAAAATGTCTGATGAGTTAGGCAAGAGTCACAATATTTCAGAAATTGCTTTGAAACTTCTTTTCACAAGGTTCAGATTTGTGTGTCAGTAACTTTTACTGTGTAAACATTCTTAATATCCTTCTTTTGACACTAATAATTTGACATAATTTAGTGACAGTACAATTATTTGCTGTGATAGGGAGTCCCATTTTGATGGTTCTGCCACCACAGAAAAGTCTCCCATATAAATGGGACACTTCTGCCTATTTTAATCAAATGTGATGTGAACAATGCTGGTTTTCTTCAGAATTTTGAAATGAGCAGTACTGCTGAGTTAAAGGAAGTGTTGGAAGTTTAATAAAACCAGAAGAAATAAATCTTTTAGAGTGATTCAGAAAACATTTAAATTATTTGAACTTGGCATAGGTAGGAGATGTATTGTGACAGAATGTTCAWGTGTTGTGGCTATTCAACTCGATAGTGCTATGTGGAAAACTTGACATTTGTCTTAAAACATTTAGGCTGCTGACTGACTACTTCCCTGCAAGTTGCTCAGCAGTTACAGATTGTAACTTTGACTGTAAACTTAAAACATGTTTCAGAATTAGTACAGGAAGAAGTGTCTGCATCCTGATTTCAGCTCAAGAGCATTTCCCCTTTCTAACCAGTACTTTAAGGGCACCCTATTCTATTGAGGTAGTCTTCTTTCAATTATTTTARTGTCTCTTGATGTTTATGATGAGTGGTGATTCATAAAAATCCTAATCATAAATCAGATGGATTCTGATTTGAAGCAACCTTTAAACATTATCTCATTTCAACCCCTTGCCATTTGGATGTCTTCCACTAGACCAGGTTGCTCCAAGCCCCATCTTGCCTGTTCTTGAACACTTTCAGGGATGGAGCTTCCACAGCATCTCTGGGCAACCTGTTCCAGTGCCTCACCACCCTTACTTACCTTGGTAATATATGGGGATTAAATAAAAAATAAGCAGACAAACTATTTCAGTAGAAATTTTGACTAACTGGGTGTGTGAGGCAGATTTTCTTCTCCCTCAGTAGGCTTTGTGCAGTTTGTGCCCTGTGTTCATATTCTCCTTTCTGCTGAACACCTGCATAATTGAGTAATGTTGCCAAATGATGAGCAAAGCCAAAATGTGGGGATACGTTCTAACCAAAAAAGTGATTTGTCTTGAACCTGTGGTGACAAAGATATCCACAATAGCTTTCACAGTTAATTACTTCTTGTAGTAGCCTGTGAACTAATCTATGCAAGAGAGCTTAGTTGTACAAGATCACAGTCAGGAAATGTGTATCTGTTTCCTAAAACAGTACATCTGCAAAATACAGCTGCAAAATTTTCATGCTGGTTCCCATTCTGCTTTAAAGTAAAAGTCACATCATTAATAATCCCTTAGTATTATTTTCTTCTGYGGCTGATTTTTTCAATATATGAAACATTTAAGTGAGAGGCCCAAGAACRGTGGGTATGCTTAAAACACAATTTCTGAAGCTTACAAGTTCTTTGAATATAGTTTGAAATCCTACTTTTATTTACACATTAAGCTYACCCAACATCTCGTAACTGTTGTTTCTAACCATGATAAAAGATGAAACCATGAAAAGATTAAAAAATTAAATGTTTCAGGGTTTTTATTTTACAAAGACGTATTGTTTTTGTTGTTGCATGACAGGGTTTATGATGTGGTCAGCATCTGTGTTTTGGTTATAATTATTCACGGTAATGTCTTTTTCCATTAATGTTCTCTACCTAATCATGGTAGTTCAGAAGTTTGGGTAAAATTCTGATAAGAAAGTGTGGCCAAGTTTTCATGAGGGCTGCAGCTTTATAAGGGACAAAGGTGCTGGTGAATGTTGGTGTATTTTCTAGGATTGAGAGGCAGAGCTGTGAGGTAAATAGCTGTAGATTTACCAGATTTGATAGTATACTTGGGATRTACTGAATCTCATGTTAGTGACAAACTGCATAGGTACAGATCTGCTCTGGTGAGTATCTGTGAAACTCTCTAGCTGTTTCACTTAGTAGAACATCCAGACTTTGGTACAGCTCATTGCTGAGCTAGACCGAGGAGCAGACCCAGGTGTGTTTTAATGGCAGTCAGTTCCCCAAGATGGTTTGCTGCACATTTCTGTAATGCTACCTCTGTGCAGAAGATGCACTGCAATAATGCAGGAMACCTCCTGTCCTGTCTCCTGGGGACAGTTTCAGCATTCAAAAGATTCTTGTCACATGCACTGTATTAGCAGAGCACTTTCCAAAGCTGYTTAATAAACTTTTGCAATTGCTTAGTTGAAGCAACATGTGCTCAATTTTTGCAAGTGAAAAGATACAATACAAATTCATGGAGTTTTTTTGAGTGAAGTTCAGGAAGTTCAATGTTTTTCTTAACTTGCAGGGAATAGCTTGGACTTAAAAGTTTATTTGCTTTGCACACCAAATATACCCATTGAAATATTGYCAGCCACCAGATTTGGAACAGCTGTCCACAGCCATTTGACATTTGARCAGCCCTGTTTAATTTGGATTGAGAAAATTGCCCAGTGGTAGTTTTCCGCATGGGAAAAGCTTGTTGAAGTTACTGTGTCTGAGGAATAGCAAAGACTCTCAACTGTAATATTTGACAGCCGATACAGAAATGGGCAGACACAAGGTTTTGCATTTGGCTTAGATTTGAGACTTCTCAATGCTCCGAGTGATTAATTGCAACTTTTGATTTTGTTTTATGGGTRTGTGTAATTGCCAAAACAGGTTTGCTCATAGAATACAGCACATGGACCTGGTGCTTGTATTTAAAGGCGTAATATTTTACTTATATAAAATTTTTTGTTATTTGTTTACCTGAATCATAACTTTTTAGGGCAGAAAATTTGTTTGCCCTTTGCTTCATATAATGCTCTTGTTAATTTTCTAATAGTGTCTGTTTTCACATGTCCTCTATTTCTTGATTACATAAATTATTCAAACCATTAGAGATTAAATTGAATTGGAAACTTGTGGTGATAGCTAATACTGTAGTTTTGCCTGCTTACAGCTAGTACCTATATTTCAATAGTGCTATCAGTAAAAGATAGGTATTCTGGGGTTGCTTTATGACAAAAGCATGGATTTTGAAACTTAATTTTTTTCTTGGAAGTAAGAGCAATGAAATTTCCCTTTTTTTTTTTTTTTTTTTTTTTTTTTTTTTTTTTTTTTTTNTTTTTTTTTTTTTTTTTTTTTTTTTTTTTTTTTTTTTTTTTCCCAGTATTTCCTCTTGACACTAGATATCACTTTGCTTTTAAAGGAGAAGCTTTATGTATCTCCTCAGGGGTCATCTTCCTAGGAATTAAATTTTCAACAAGGAACCATTGAATATCTTAAGAAACTTTATTAAATTACAGGAATKTAGGTTTTGTCGAGTATAGTACAGTGTGTTTGTGACTTGACACTGAAATACTGTTTGGTAGCTGCAACAGAAGTAGAGAGAGGGAATCTTGAAAAACCTGGGTGCCTCCTGTTGTTGAAAAACAGAACTCCTATATTGTTTAACTGTTTATGAAAATTGCAACAGTTCATTTGTAACAATAGGTCTGTAATTTTTTTTTCAGTCCTCCCACCCATATAATCACTGTTAATGGCAAGGAATGTATAAACTTTGCATCATTTAACTTCCTTGGACTTCTGAATAATGAAAAGGTTAAGGTGAGTTCTTCCAGTTATTCTATTTGTGTGATTATTCCTCTTTTACTTTGTATGTTATCTTGGCATAAAGAGTAACTACAAAAAGCATGAAATTCTTCAATAACACATACTGCTAAAGMAGGAAGGAAGATTATAAACCTTGTAATGTTGTGCTGTTAAAGTTTGTATTTTTACCAAAGTTTATTTTGAAATACTTACTGCATACCTAATTATCCAGTTAGATTAGTATTTAATGGTCCTAAGTATTAGAATAAAATGAGTGATGCTTAAACACTTGTCTAAAATAGTTTTGATGTGAAATTAATTCATAAAAATCAGTACATATTTTCTGCGAAGCRGGTCATGTTACATGATATAAAAGCTCATCTGTGTACATTGGTGTAAAATTGTCAGTGTGTGGTGTGTAGAAGAGTTAGAGAGCCAATGCAGGAATATTTAATGTAATTCTTTCCTATTAAAGAGTGCAGCCCAGGCATCTCTGAAGAAATATGGTGTTGGCACTTGTGGACCCAGAGGATTCTATGGTACTTTTGGTGAGTAACTTTCTTTGATCTGTCTTTAAAGGTGCTCAGATTAGTTTTGTAAGCCAGCCAAAACAGTCCAATATTTAAGCAAAAAGTTGTTGCTGTTGCTCTGAAAAGCAATTGTTCTCTAATGCACTTTYTATTATAGTTGTTGAGGATTGGTAGTGCTTATTATTCCTAGCTTTGTTTCTCATTGCTTTATCTATTTTCTTACTGTTTCCAATTCTGGTCTTGGAGGAGAATTGCAAAGTTTRTAATCGGTTTTAAGATTCTGGTCACCATAGTCAAAAGAGAAAACAAACCTGTTAGAATTTAAAAATGCATGGTGACGCTTAAGTGTAAATTAAAGTTTCTAAGGGAACCACAAGGGGGCAATCTGATTTCTGTGATAACAATTATTAGTTAACGTTTATCTAATGCTGTAATCAGAATGAAGTTTTACACTACTGATAATTTTACTGTTGTATTTGAGAGATCGTATGGCATGAGCAGGTGTTATGAAGGTAAGAGTTTTTTTGCATTCCTCTTAAGAAGTAGGAAGTTGTTAAGTATCAGACTCTGGAAATAGTTCTTTACAGGCATTTATATTTTGAAATAATTACGTGCAAACTGAGGAGTTGTACATGAATAGCTACATAGTTACAGGCTAAAATCTAAACTCATTTTGTGAACTTTGCAGTCTCTCCACAGAGGTGATGGAATTCTGTGGGTGTCTATACTCAAATTATTTCATAGGGTTAGCTTCCTGTAGCCTTGACTCGAATTCGAAAGAAACTTGAGCTTTTCTTGGTTCATCAGACTAGTTAGTTCCTATAAATGATCAGCTAGTTGCTATACCTAATTTGATGATAACAATCTATCTATCAGAACAGGGTTGAGTCTTTGATACCMATCTTAGAGGTTGTTCATTAGCTTAGAACCATAATTTTTGATGCACAGGTAAACATTAGGAATGGGCTGTTGAGGATTTATGTTTTGCAGGCTGTGGATAAAATTGCTCTTTATTGTGATTGGGAGACTGTTGTTTGAAGAAATACCTTTCACTTTTTAAAATAAATTCATAAATCATATGGTTGTGCCCTTTTGAGGAAAGATTATCCTAGATGTGTTTAGTATGCCAGAGTTGAGACTTTTACAATACCCTTTCTTTCTGCACCCTTGCTTTTAGTGTCTGGTCAGAAAGAGCAATACTAACATAACAGTGTGCCCCACAGACTACTGGAAGAATATGATCTGTATATATAACTGATGTTGCTTCATTTGATTTTAGTTTCAATCAACTTCAGTAATTGCAAAGGGGTAACAGATGGCCAGTGGTGATATTTCAAGTCACACAGTAATGATCTATGTTTGCCTTTTAATTTTATTTATTTCTATTTGATGAAAAGCTTTATTCTCTGACTGTTGCAAGCAAGAAGCAGATAGTGGTAGGAGAATTAGACAATCAGAATAACAGTTGACCTGATACAGGTCACTTAAGTGGAATACTCTGGTTACCTTTCTGCAGCAACAGTGCACTCGCTGTGTGGTATTACCCTTTTTCATATTTTGATTTCTGACATGGGTCACTTTTACCAGATTGGTTTACAAAATGCTTTTTGTGTGTGATTGAGTCTATATATTTTAAGGGTGCATAATCTCTGGCTTAGAGTTGTGACCTTTTCAATGGGTTTGTGATTTGTAGTCTGCCAAGAGGAGTTATCTGTTATAATGATAGCTGTGCTTATGTAGTGGAAGCATCAGCTTGGAAGAACTGACAATCTGCCAACAGGACCTCATTAATTGTTATAAATTACATAATTTGTTTTCTGACTGTAGTAACTGTGCTCTCTAGTCACAGTCTAAGAACACTGTATCATTTACTTGTTGTCTAATCACAAGTAGATTTTAACAACTATTGCATAAGAATATTAGAGAAACATGTTGCATAAATATTTTCAGATCTGTCAAAATCTGTGATTAATAACAGGTTACTTGTCAGTTTAAGAGCAGCTGGATTGGTTGCAATTGGGTTTTAGGAAGATACTTGTTTTAATATTCATCCTACAAATAAATATTCTGTTTTCTTCAATTAGATGATTGCTAAAAGTAATTATAGTCTTTCTGATATGAAGATGAGTTAGCTATATAAGATCTTTTGGATTACTCTCTCAAATAGATGTGCACTTAGAATTAGAAGAACGGCTAGCAAAATTCATGAGGACAGAGGAAGCTATTATATACTCATATGGATTTGCAACAATTGCCAGTGCTATCCCTGCATATTCGAAAAGAGGGGACATTGTGTTTGTGTAAGTATTGTTTTTTACTTGGGAAATTCCAGATTAAAAACTTCTTTTTTCCTTTCAATTTTTCTTTGTCATGATTGCTAATCATATCATTGAACATTTAAAAATATTACTGGTTTAATGTAGTACAAAGCTCAAATATTTTTTCTTTGCCCAATAGTATAAATCAGTAATGGCTTTCATCATGAAAGACTTGGGCACTTGGCTGCAAAAAAATGTGAAACAACTTGTGCATTCAAAAACCAGTGTAATTCTAATACCTAATTTTTCCTCTTAAGAAATTGTACGGTTTTGCTTGCTTTTCTCCTATTTACTGCTGGCTTTTCACCTTTCTTCCAGGACAGTTGAGTTGTTCCCCTCCTGCCTATTTGCAATGGGCTAGTTAGATAAATATTGGCACATACTAAAATAACAGAACAATAGTTATGCAGAATCAAATAAAGGGTTTGGCAGGCCCARTATATGGTCCCTCTGAATAGCCAGTGATAATTTGTCTAGGGAAGATTCAGGAACAGGGAGAAACAATGTAACAATACTCARCTTCCTGGGCCTAAGAATGGGGTTTGGATTTAGTAAAGAGTTGATGGATTTTTCTTAAAACTTCTGAGTCTTTTAGTACCTTAGATCTTTAATATCAACAGTGTTTCTTTCATGTGCAAATGGAAAACTTCAACATTTATGAAAAATATATGTATACCTGCTTCAAATATTGTACCTATTAATTTCTATTGAAGCATTTGATTTTAAGACCAGGATTTTCTCCATGCATTTTCCCCATGGGAGTAGAAAGTGAGTATCAAWGTGAGGCTCAGCTGCCTGCTGTGGTTAAAGTACAACACAGTGATGCTTTTGTATTTATCTGCCAAAATCTCTCTTCGGTGCTCTCTTAGAATACTAAATGTAAGGCTTGCAGCCTTTTTGACTTATTTRCAGAAGTTCTTTCATAAATTTAATCACCTTTTTTGGTTGCCTTTRATTATTTTCTGGACCAGCATTCTTTAGACAAATGACCAGGGTTGTACATACTGCTCAAGGATGACAGTGTAACTTGGTTAAGTTATCTTACACTGTTTCAGCTTCTTACTGACAAAAGATCTCACTGTGTTTGAAAGCACTTGGTTGAAATTACTGCATTTAACATGTGCAGGTTTGATTCAATTGCCACTTTTACAAGATTAGTTGACCTAAGCAGCTGTGAAATTGCATACCCCATCATACTCAAAAAATTAAGTGTTCCAACACTTAAAATGGGGGATAGTTCTTTGGACATGGAGTTATTATTTCTCAAAGGATATTAAAATGAAAGTTTTGAGTATTTGGAGGACTACAGTGAATGTTACAGGCACATCTTTGTGCGTTTTTTGTAAGACCCAGAGCAAATGGAGTGAGAGTTTTCTGGCATGATTACCATGGTATTCTACCTGGTCCATGGAATGCTGTGCTCAAACTGCTGTCACATACAAACAAAAGGACCAGTGTAGACTTCAAGAGAAAGCCTGTTGGCTTGCTTTTACCAGATGTAATACATAGTAAAATTGAAAAGCTTTGACATGAATTTACAAAATGTAAATAAAATATACAGTTTTGTCTACACTTAATTATAAATATCTGCTCAAAAGAAAGGCAGTTGTAACAGTCTGCTTTCTTTGAATAATTGCACTGTGATTAACAAACTTAGAAGGGTTTACTATATTTACAGAGATGAAGCTGCCTGCTTTGCTATTCAGAAGGGATTACAAGCATCTCGTAGTAACATCAAGTTATTTAAGCATAATGATATGGCTGACCTTGAACGACTGTTGAAAGAACAAGAGACTGAAGATCAAAAGGTACCATTCCTTTGAAGAAATATTTGTACTCTTTTGTGCTACCTCCCCCACATTTTTTAACTGGGTTGTGTAATTGATTGTATGCAATGCTTATAGATAGTTACTTGGGTTTCATAACTCTCTGTCGAGCAGTTATGTTGCTTATTTAATTAAGATAATTTTTTTAAAACCTATTTATTTGTGTTCTCTTCTAAACCCCTAGAACTGAGCCCACAGGCATTAGTAGCAGGGGAATRTCTTTACAGGTAGATGACTGAAGTGAGATAATTTTTTTTTCTGTAAATACTATTACAGAGCTTTTTTGGGTGTCTGAGAAATKTATGTAATTATATTTACCTCATAAAGCATTTAAGTTAATTATCACTTTGAATGCCACACTATAAAATCAACACAAAAGTGGCGAGTCCTTTATAGAATCAATATGGTTGGTTCTGTTATTATTAGTGTTCCCCTATCTTGCAACAGCTCCTAAGATATTCTCTCATGGCAGATTTGAGTCAGTTTGATGGCTTGCTTCTCATTCTGACAGTAATGCAGAAGGAAGTCCAAAAGCAGTTACTAGGTCAAGATCAGAAAGTACAGATAACTTAATTAAATGAGTTTTAAAAGAACCTATTAGCTATTGTGATTCTATGGTTTGTTCACAGAATGCTGGCAAGTTACAGACAATTGAAAGAAAGCTGATTTTGTGATAAGACATAGAAAAAGTAGAGTAGATAAACTGGCAATCAGCTTAACATCAGTGTAAATCAGTAACGGATCTTATTAATAGCAAATTGATAGATACATATTAGTTAACATACCTTCATGGAAAATAATTTTTGTCAGATAATCTTTACATGAGTTTTTAGAAGTGGTTTTCAAACTAATTTGTGTAACACATATGGTTTGTTAGAGCAGAGTGCTTTGAATTAGCTACATGGTTGAAGTTTCTTACTGTAATTAGCTGAATGTGGATGTAAAGTTGGTGGGCAAGAGCTTAATATAGACCATGTGTGCATAACTAAGACATAGTGACTAGAAAAGGGTAGGTCATACCATTAGAGTTAGTAATGCCTGTGGAGCAGACTGACTAGTTTGGTGCCTACCATGCAGAAAAGTACATGTTTCTGAATCTTTTTACAAGAGCTGAAAAAATGAAATAAGTGTGACATAATATCCTTGTTCAGCAAATATCAATAAGGTTTAAAGTAAATAATGGAGGAATGGCATTTTAAAACAGCAAAACTGAAATTATACCAATTGAAATTATGAAATTTAAGTAGAAACAAGGGTAAGATATTTAATGGTCTGTATTGTATCCAGAGACCAGACAAAGACTTTGTAACTTGAGTGTTATGAATACTTTGCACTGTGTTTTACAAAGAAACTACTTGTAAGAAGTTTGTGCTGCATTGTGAATCTTGGTGCTCAAAACATTTGTTGAAAAGTCTTCTAAATGCTTAGACTAATGATGGGTATAACAGACCAAGATTCGTAGTATTTGTTCCGTAGTTACATTGGTTTTATTTTATTCATAAAGTTCAAATGGATTGGTTATGATTTGTTGCAAAACAAGGCGTTTTAAATCATGTGTAGAAGTCAAAAGCTTTGAAATTATTACAAAATAAATAAAAGACAGAAGTAGTCCCAGGAGGCATTGCAACTATTGTTACAGATGAAAAATAYGGAGTTTAAACTGAAGTAACAGCTTACTTGAATAAAAGGCCATTCCCTTCACAAAAATCTTCGTATCGAAAAACTACTTAGAGCTTTGCTTGTTTAGTAACAATTGATGTGAACTAAAACTTTTTCTTTCTTTGAAGAATCCTCGCAAGGCTCGTGTAACTCGAAGGTTTATTGTAGTGGAAGGGTTGTATATGAACACAGGAGACATTTGCCCTCTTCCAGAATTGGTAAGTGGTTTTAGTTTGCCTTTTGAACTGCATATGAAAACTTGTGGSTAATGAAATAATAGTGTTGTATAATTAAGCCTACAGAGAAAAGCTCTATGTGCAGGTTTTTTGTTTACCTTCCTGCTTTCTCTCATGAATATATGAGATATATATTCATGTTCATGATATATGTTCATGAAATAATGATTCCAAATCTTAACCTTGTTTTGAAACTTCTGCTTAGGATTCTGAAGCTATTGAGACTTAGAAATTAATATATGACTATGGTCTTAATTTTTATCCTGTCTTTTTAGACTGTATTTTCAGATATAATGTGATAYGTGATACTGGATTGTTAAACTAGGTTATGTCTTCAAAAAGGAAAGAAAAAAAGAAGTTTCAAAGAAAAATTGACACAAATGTCAGAAATAGTGACTCCAAGGAGAGCATTTKCTATTCAGTGTAAAATAGCTTTGTGTGTATGCTCTATTCTCATAGGTGATGGAAGAAATGGCGTGAAAATCCATCATCTTGAAAGAACTTGAGAATCTTTTTTTTGAAAAGGGGTCTTTCATATATGAACATTTATGAAATTTGTTCTAGTATTGCATGATGGAATAATTTTGAAGGCTTTTAAAATGGCTTAATGACAGAACAGAACTCTAGAACTAACTTTTATGCAGTAAAAGTCCTTGTCTTTCTTTACCTTCTCTTTCCCATGTTGTCACCAAATTCTGACTTGTATTTTAGATTAAATTGAAGTATAAATACAAAGTTAGAATATTTTTGGAGGAGAGCCTTTCCTTTGGAGTCCTTGGAGAACATGGAAGAGGAATTACTGAACACTTTGGAATAAATGTATGTACCTTTTGGTTGTGAATTAGAGATTTGTACAGAAGCAAGTTGTGAAATTGTTTTCTAAAACCTATGGCATTAATAGATAGTTTTGAAGTGTAAAGTAGACATTTAAATATAAGCGTTGTTAATTTCTTTTTTTTAGTATCATTTTTTCCACTATCSTAAGAGTCCTAAAGCTTTCAGGTCTTGGAACTATTTCATGTGCTTATTTGAAATAGCACATGAATTTTCAATTCTTTAGTGATGAAGGTAACAAAAGGATTTTTACAATGCATAATTCTGTCTTTATTTTGGACACACAGTGAAATAACAAATACTGAATTTTCCAGCCACATACACTGAAAAGTGTACTGTCACAGAAATATCTGAGGTCTAGGAATAAATAAGAAAAATCTTTGCAGTGTGTACATAGCCATCCTATTTTGCTCCATTGCCTTTTACTTCAGTAAGGAAAGATAGGATAACATTTTTAAATTCTCTCGGAGGTGTTACTGTAGTACTCTACCAGCTGCTCAAGCTAAACTATTTTTCCAAGTCTGTATACTTTTCGTGGTGTTTATGCAGCTGAAGAGTGCTTTAGAAATCCAAAATGGTATCCTTGGAGTTGTTTGCTACCACAGTCTCCTTAACTGAGAAGAAGAAAGAAGTGCTTTCTGTTTGCCAGTGTTCTAGTGTGAAGCACCTCTCACTACATTCCAACAGTGTCTGAATTCAGCTTGGAAGTGAAATAACAAATTTTGAGAAATCRTTCTGTCTTCCCCTTTGTCCTGTTTTTTTTTGCTTAATATCAAACATGGAAGAGAGAAAATTAATTTAGAATAGGAAACAGCATTACTGTGATACATGCCAAGCACCATCTGATTAATTGACTTCTATGTTAAATTCCTTTCCAAGTAATTGACTTTCATGTTAAATTAATTTACAGACAAAATCTTTCAGAGCCTGGCAAAAGAAAATAATTGCAATTAACAAGTGAAATAAGACAACTGTGTCTCTAATGTTCAGACTCTATTTTAATTAGGTTTATGCTTAATTTTAATCATATTCTACCTTCTACTGACTACAGTAGGACTACTTACACTCTTTAAGGACACTACCACACTGAGTGCTTTGTGGAATTGTCACCAGTATCTAAATAGTTTATCTGCGTGTGTTCTTCATGTTGCAATGCCTGAAAGAGAKAGATCATATGCAATTTATTTACAGATCCATAAAGCTCAATTTCTAAATTGCAGTCTTTCTGTAGTGCTTAAAAATATTATTTCAGTTGTACTTTCATTTTGTTATGTCATAGTATAGTGGATCTTCTTTAGTGTTCATAGTAATATGGAATAAGATGTATCTTTAATAGATTAACTTGTAAATATTCTTGATGCAATCAGAAGTATCTTTTAATAATTTCTTCGTTTAACTGGCAGATTGATGATATAGATCTTATTAGTGCAAACATGGAAAATTCACTAGCTTCTATTGGAGGATTTTGCTGTGGAAGATCTTTTATTATTGACCATCAGGTAAGAAAGATCTCTTTTTAAATAGTCTGGCACTACTAGTTAGTTATATATGAGAGTTAGTTACTAATATCAAATTGCAAATATCATATAGATGATTATGCAGCATTTGATTCCATACAGAAACTGTCTGGTTCTGTCAAACACTGTAGATAAATTGGAGACCTACTTGTAAATCCTTATATGTACCTGTAAGTGTTAGGGGAGGTTGTTTGTATGTACATGAATTAACTTTTAAAATGTTGTCTGTGTTACTATAAACATACTTTTTTTTTCCCCCGTAGCGATTGTCTGGTCAAGGCTATTGCTTTTCTGCATCTCTACCTCCTTTGTTAGCTGCTGCTGCTATAGAGGCTCTGAATATTATGGAAGATAATCCAGGTACTTAATTCAGGAAAATGTTATCCTTCAGTCTTTCTTYACCCCAAAAAAATAACTTGTACTTCTCCCTACTTTGATTCTTCACCTTTTTACTCTGATTTCCTATTTATTTTTTCATGAATTAATTTTGCATGTGTGCTTTTTATTCATGGTATTTCCCACTCTGCTTTTCCTCTTCAGTGTTTCCTTCCCTTTCCTTCTTATAGCTGAAAATAAGTGAGTTTGTTGAAGCTAAGAGGGACGCAGATGGTTTTTAAAAAGCAAAKCAGAATTTTTATTCCGCTTTTTAGATCAGTGACATGCTTTTTCCTTAAAAACATATTCCTTCAGCATAAATGGAGGAAGAGAAGGTTAAGTAGAAACAAATGGAAATATATTTCCTCAGGACTGGACAACCTTCTTCTTTCCATTTGCACTATAATTAGGTTTGTTCTTTCTCTAGTTAAGCATTCAGGCAGGAATCTCAGGAATGATCAGGGTGCTAACTGCCTGTAATTTTGGCAGGACCAAATTCAATGCATTTGTATAAAGTTGAGAGACAGAAGTTTCTGCTCTAGGAGTCAACTAGAAAAGCACTTAATGATCATCTAGTTCCAGCACCCTTGCCATTGACATGGACACCTAGACCAGCAGCCCTATCCAACCCGGCCTTGAAAAATCTTTTTCCGGACCAAGAATTGAGCCTAKGCCATGACAGTGATGAATTCGTGCACTAGGACACCTGGGAACAATTTTTTCTTTTTCAACCTTCATTTGCATCAACAGATTGAAGGACATCTGCAGACATGCAGTATTTAATTTGTCACAAATTAATTACTGGGTAGCCCATGACTAGTCCTCTGAGGTGAAACAGAATCAAGAAAAAACTAAGAGCAAGTTACAGGACTGTTAGGTGTAGTGGAGGGCTAGCCTTCACCAACAAAAAAAAAAACAATGTTGSAGATTCAGAAGTTGGTTTCCTCTTTAAGAATCTGCAATGAATTGGAAAGGATTAATGAGCAGAATCTGCATGGCAACAGCTATTTATGGATATGTATAAATTGGACCTTCCACTTCAGTCCTGTTACAAAGTGTTTGTGTCGTCCCTTCCATATGATCGTGAACCAATGCAGCTGGAGTAATGAGATAAAGGGAAGTAGTGCATTTGTCAGGACTTAAAAGCTTGTCATTTCCTGGCAGAAGTGGGAATTGGGAACATTGAGAAGAGTAGCAAAGTGACGGAGTAGTTCTATATATATACATATTTTAGTTTTATTTCAAATGCTATATTTGGAAAAATRGAGAMATGTAGAGAAATGTAAAGTAAGAAACAGGAAATCTAGGACTTTCCTTCTCCTGTTTTGGATTTTTTTWAAATTGTTTTGTTTTGTTGCTGTTTTTTGTATGTAGACATTTTTCAGACTCTCCGGGATAAATGTGAAAGAATTCACAAAGCTTTACAGGGGTAAGTGTGGGGTTTGGGGCTTTTTTGGCTTTTATTTGGCTATGCCTTTATAATTCCAGCTTTAAAGAACTCTTTTTGCCCAAATGTCTTTCTGGTTTTACAGATGCTTAGATTGGGATATGTACTCTCAATTATGAATGTATTAAAGAAGGAAAATTATCTTTCCCAACTGTCTCTGATATGCTACTGAAAAGSGTTTCAAGTTTTTTAAATCCTTTACAAGTTTTGTAATGAGATTGTATTTTAAGGCTAGTGAGGAATTCTGCAAACACTTGCACTTTTATGTCTTGAAGAAAGTGAGGTAGCTCTCAATGACATAAAGTTTTGTTAAGCATTTTGAAAATTGTCTAAATGAAAGCATTTGGGATGAAGCTTAGCACACTCTCTCCGACAACTCAATGTATCTTTGAATCACCTTGGATACAATATTGTTCCTACACATTTGACTTGAATGTTCAGTAAACAACTGATTGTTCTGGAGGCACATAGAAAATTGCTAGAACTTATCTGAAAAATCAGGTTTAAAATTTCCTAATGCTATGCTGTTTTAAAAGATGTCTRTACTGACTAACATAATGACTAACTGCTTTTTTCTTCTGTCAGGTTTTGATACTAAAAGGATAAAGAAATTGCTGTAATATTTAACAATCATTTAGTGTGCAGTAATTGTGCAATTGTATTTTACAATTAGTCTTCCTTCCAACAATTTTCTGTTGTGTATTACAGAAATTAATAACCTTTAGAAACACTTGAAATTTGAAATGCATGATTATTTATACTGGTTCCTTTGGAATGATACAACATCAAATAAGCCTGATCTTCTTAAAATGTGTGTTAGGCAAGCTTATCAAAGTCCAGAAATCAAAATTACACCTGGTAGTTGATACATRTTTATGTGACCTGTTACTTTTGGGGGCCAGAGGTCTTGCTTGAATATTGRATACAGATTTTTGGATGGGAATAACTCAGTCCTGTGATCTGTGAGGACAATAAGAATCAAATGTCAGTCCTTCGGTCAAATTCTAGAAACCCAGTTAACAGCTCTTTCTATGTACAGATGAAGGAACAATTCTAATCATATAACTAATTTTAGAGGAGCGTCTGACAGATGATGCTATAAAGATTTCCTAGGGGAAATAATCTAAAATAGTAAATCTTGCCAAATCTTGCAAAAACCCCCAACAGAATATCCGTGGAGTGATAAAAAGGCTTATTGTTATTTATTTTCTTAATGTAGATTACAAAGACTTGACCTAGCTAGCTGAGTTTTTATTTGCAACTTACAGGCCTAGCACAGACATTTCTCTTACACCTTCATAAGGATACTTTAAGAATTTCTGAATTATTAATCCTTTCTGTAAAACTGTGGGTAACTATAATTTTAAAACTTACTGAAACTCCTTAGAAAAGACATTTGCTTGATAAGTTTTGTTATCTTTATGTATTGAAAGCCGAAATGCACTTACGTTTTGTCTGCACTAGTATCAGTAAAGTGAAATRTCCATCTTTCCTTACCACGTAGGAAGGGGAAACACTTGTTACCTAGAATTTCAATGCATGTCTTCAAGTAGGATGTACATCAAACGCTTTTTATTTGTTTTAGGATTTCTGGTTTAAAAGTAGTGGGAGAATCTTTTTCTCCAGCATTACACTTGCAGTTGGAGGAGAGCTGTGGATCTCGAGAAAATGATGTGAAGTTACTCAAAAGAGTTGTGGATTATGTAAGTGTCCCCATAGTAATTAATATATATCATTGCCTTTGAATTTTAATAATGAAGGAAGGGTAGGGGAGGCTTGTTGGGTAACATGTTGAAATATCTTGCAGGAAAGCTGCAAGAAAGCTCAAATCTGCATATAAAATTGTTGCTTAGACAACTTTCATAATGTTAGTAAGAACAGTGTTCTGGAGGTGCATTTGACCATTTAAGATCAACCTTTACCTCTCTGAGATAAAGGACTTTGGTTTTTTTTGTGTGTGAAGAATCTCATATTCTATATGTAGTATTTTTCCCTTCTTCAATACATATTGGTTCTCTTCTCTTTGTCTCACGCGAAGAGGTAGAAATTGAGGGAAAGCCTTATATATCAGGTGACAGGTAAACAAGATGACRTAACAAAAATAAATTCTCAAGTTAATTTCCTTGAAAATATGCTTAARTATGATTTAATTGCCTGATAAATATGGTATGTTTGCCTTATTACATGGAGATGAAAACTAAAGACACTTTACCCTAAACTGTTTTGTGTGTTAAAGCTATATTGAAATCAGAGATGATTTTGCACAACCTTCCAAACCTCCTTTGGGAAAGAACTTGCATTTATCTTGACACAAGATTAATATAAGTTAGTTATAATTATTTGGTGATCAAAATGATATGCCATCAGAAATTCACAGGTTGACTGCTGTATTTTCTTTGTTTGCAGTGCATGAATAGTGGTATTGCGTTAACACAGGCTCGCTATCTGGAGAAAGAAGAAAAATGTCTTCCTCCACCCAGGTTAGCAGAAAGTCAGTGTGTTACTTAATTTTTATTGGATATGGCTCTCCATCTCTTTTCATACAATGATGGGGTTTTGTTTGGTGGACTGGATTGAATAGTTAGTTCTTGGAAAAATGGGAGAGGCTCCATTTTTGAGGTGTATGTTCAGTGACTGTTATTAATAACTGTAAATATTGAAATAACTCTATCAAAACTACCTCAATCTTGTGACCAACATGTAGCCCAYTAGCAGGCACATATAAGCTGCACCTCTGTAGGTAAAAAAGATAACAGATTTTTTCAGTGTGTATGGTGGGGCGGCAGAGAGGATGCAAAAAAGTAGCTTGACCACTTCTGTGTAGTCATATTTCAGTTCCTGGTTGAATTTGAAATCATAATAATTTCCTTACAGGTGATCTTAATGTGTTGAAATTAGTGTGAAAGAATTCTAAAGTTGAAGGCTACAAGTAAAGTTCACTGTGTATGTTCTGGTTTTCTTTTTCTAGTATTCGAGTAGTGGTAACAGTGGAACAAACAGAACAAGAACTGGACAAAGCTGCATCACTTCTTAAGGAAGCTGCACAGTCTGTGTTGAATTAGACTGCTGTTTTGGAGTTCTCTTTCCCCACATTATCAGGATAAGGGTTTTACACTGTATAGTGACTTCCAGATTTTTCCACTGATGGCATTGAAATCTGACTAACAAAATTGTTCTAGAGTGGTAGAAATTCAGTGAGGGGAAGAATGCAGAATTTTGAAATTAGTGAATGACACAGTGTTATTCCAATTCAAACTCTGTCATTTACTAGCATTACTTAAAAGGGGATATGACTATTGCATTCATGACTCTTTCATAAATTTAATATAAAAAGTTTTAAGTTTATTTTCTCCAACCCTTAGATGTTCTCGAAGATATGAACATTCAGTTTCCCCCCAAACCATGTAAAATGCATTATTTTCTCTGCATTTTCTCAAAATGTGGGATCTTCAAATAAGTTTCAAGGAATTGAAATCCCTCCCCACCTTCCAAATGAAAATACACTGTTCGTAATACTGCCAAAAGGAAGAAAATAACACATTAAGATATAATTTTGTGCTGCATTATGTCATTTATTRTTGAATTATAGGAGGGAAGAACTTCAATTCTTTTTGTACATATATCTTTCTCTAACCATTTTTGGCAGCTGGTTTCTAAAAAGAGCTGGCCAGAGAATTCCTTTATCTAAACAGTAAATTCATATAAAATACTGTTTGCTTCCTGCATTCCATATGTAATTGTATCCATGTTTGATATTATGGGTGAGGTTTTTCATATTATTAACTTTAAAATATCTAGATTCAAACCTCTGAATTGTGTAACCGGTGTAATTCCAATGTAGTATGTTCAGTTAGGGGAGCTTTGTACCAGTCTTGAGGAGGAGTAATAGGCAACATGGAAAATGAGCCAAGGTTTTGAAACAGCAACTAAACACTAGCTTAGTCAAACTACTTTTAAGCACTAAAATTATGTGTGCTTAGTTTTATCTCTAAACATCTGTACCTTAGAAGGGAAAACTCACAGATAGATAGTAAGAGTTTAGATGGTACAAATACTGCTGAAACACCACTAAATCCGTGCACATAAAATTCCCAAGTAACTTGATAGTAATATTTGGAGGTTGTGCTGTCAGGATTTTAGGTAAGCACAGATGGGCGTTACATATATGAACACTTTACTTCAATCAGGAAACTGGTAAGGAAGTATGTACCTTTTTATAAAACAAAAAAATATAGCTTTTTATTTGGGGATTTTGCTTTAAGAATGCCTGTCTGAAAATTCTCTTTTCTGCCTAATATGTGTTATTTTGTACTTACGTGCCTTTTTGGTTGCTACTACAAGGGGATATTTTTGAGAAACATCATTGTTAAATAAAGTTAATCATGTTTGATTCAGGTTTTTACTTATACAATTGGATTTTGTAGCATGATCAACCATATATTGTTGAATATTCTGCTTTAAGTGAGCATAATCCATGTTCATAGAGACTTTCTGCACTGGCTTTCAAAACTTTTCATCTGTGTATATTCAGATAGAGCATTTATTTAAAGTTATGTTGGAGCACTTTTGTGACTGTTGCTTGATATTTGAAATAGTCAAATCATTTATCTGTGCAATGTAAAAAAACCTTCATCTCAATGTGAAAGAGTATCCCTATTTTACTGACATTTATGTTTTCTCTGTTGACTGTGAGTAAAAGCCAGCACGAAGCCAATAATTTAAAAGAGAAAAAAACGTGAGGAATGAAACTGACTCCAATTTTACAGACTGGAACTGAAGTGCAGAACAGTCACCTTGAAGACCCTCAAAGACTGCTAGAAATGGAAATGAAATGTTCTTGCTCTACTTTGAGCTTTTGAGCCATTTTTTGCTTGATAAGTGAAACCTGCATATCTGAGTAAAGTTAAGCCTTTGATGTATAAACTTGGAACAAATAAGGTACTTCGATTCCAGTGCAGTATAATAAATGGTTTTGGAATTGAGATGAACCTGGAAAGGTAAGCAAATCACCACTGGCATTGAAATCCTAGGTTGCAGAATCTATGTTTAGTTCTCGCATTTTATTTTAGGTTGTCTGCAAATGGGGTGGAATTTTTGTTGTGCCTAGAGAACTAGCAATTATTTTTACATATGTGGATTTGTGTTATTTCTGTTCTTGGWTTGTTGGGTTTTTTTGCTTTTAAATAAAGTGATGACAACTAAAGTAGCAAGAAGCAGAGTGAAATTTCTAGCAGTTTCAAAGCTGTAACTAAATGGTTCTGATGAAATAAAAGTTCAAAAATGTTGCTAAGAGATGCCATAATCTGATTCRTTTGACAAACACATACCCACCATTAAAACACTGTTAAAACTGCCTTTGTCCTTTTTTTGTTGTTTACCAGTGTGTAAAAAAGAAGCATTTAGATCACAGTAAAGTGAATATCTTGGTTGATAGCAGTTGAAGTGCTGTTGTAATGTGTGTTTTACTGACAGGTTTTATGCATGGGCTCCGCGAGAAATTAAGACACTTACGAGATGTGACTGGCAGAGGGGAATATCCCTGGTCAGTTGAAGCATGTCYGACTCCTCTTCATTTTGACTTTTTTGATAAATGTCTCTGAAATGGCAAGCAGATGAAGAAATGGGTGGCTCTGGGGAAAAATGTTGATTGGGGGTTAGGAAGACAGCAGGTGATTCTGATTAAACTTCTGACATGTAAAAAAATCAGAAGCCTGTTAAGGTGCTTAACTGCTCAGTACTCTTGGCTGATAAATATATGAACAAATCTGTGTTAGTTGCTTTGGAGTGGTGTTTGGATGAAGTGGGATTTTTCCATCCATTTCTTCAGATGTGGGCATGAAACTGGAGTGTAAAGCTATTAAGCAGGATGCTGTGAGATGAAATAAACAAAAGTACCTTATCCCAAACTTCAAAGTACCTTTTGAAAGTAAATTTTATTTGAATTAATTTCTGTGTTTTGCTTTGCCAAATATTTGGAACAGGGTTTCAGCTAAGTGGATAATAAATACAGTATTTTAAATAGTGATCAAAAATAAATGTTAGGGTTTTTWAAATTGAAGATTATTATCTGGTAGTTGAGAAGGAGGGCATTTTAATTGTAAAAAGTTGGCCATTTATTGAAATTGTCTTGATGAGRGCAATTTTCATTGCAATTTGCAATATATGGGGACTGGGATGGACTGGAAAGAATTTATATTTTAAAGTATTTTAGCTTGAAGAACCTAGTATATGTGATATATATACTCTTATTTTAAACAAAGAGATTTATTTTCCTTGATATTTAAAAATAATTGATTACTATTTGTGTAGTGGTTTTTATAGGAAAATCTACAGATGCTTTTTCTGTTTATTTTAGTAATCACTATTTTTGGATAGGAGGTGAAATGCATAAGGAAGGTATTAAGAAAGAAAGAGATGTATGGCTGAATAACTTTGATTTTATTTTTTTTCACTTTTGAAATATGAACCCAGTCAGTGCATAGAATGGTGTACTGTCTCCTTTCTGTCACTCCRTCTGGACTTTATTATTTTAAACAGCATTGTGGAGTGTTGGCATTCACTGATCTATGAAGTTGCTACTGCAAAAGTGTCTTGCATCTTGAGATAACTAGAGAAATGCACATGTAAATATATAGAGCTGTAAATGCTGCTTAAACAGAGGAAATATTTACAACTGATACAAAGCATTTGTACATTAAACTGTTTCAGTGTCCTAATAAAAGGAAGTGTCTGGATAACATTTCTAGTTGTGTTTTTATGTTCTTTGGCAGTTTTCATGGTAATAAGATAATGGACTTACTTTGTCTTGCTGTTGATAGATTTTCCAGATTTTAGTTTCCTGTCCATTGTGTACTCTGTAATTGCAAAACATGCATAGTAGAAGTCACAGAAACTACTAAWTTTGCTGAAGAGTACCAATCAGGGAAGGACAGTTTCTCCATATCCAATTTCTAATACTTAGGTAGCAACACTTACTGGGAACTGCTGTTGGAAACTAGACAGTGCGCTACATACAGTTTTATTGTGACCCAAAATAGAATTTCTGATGTATCAGCAAACTTGAGTCCAGGTGACTTATGTCCTAGCTTTGAGGTGCCTTACAGAATAAAATAGTGCAATTACAGCTAMCATATTTTATAGATAAGATTTCTCTGTTTTCCCCTCCTATTAAAGGTGTTACCACTTAGCYGTGCATGCTGTTTGTGTAACCAAGCTCCATTTGCCAACAGAGGATTCAGAGCTGGCAAAAAACAGTAAGTATTGAAGTCGAAGGAAAAGCTGAAGTAGAACTGGAAATATGTAATCCACTGTTTGCTTATTTTTGACCTATATGAAATGTAAATTAATTTTCTCACTCTAATCAATATTTAGCCTGTGCTTCTGTTCTGGTCTCCACAATTCAAGAAAGACAAGGACAGACTGGCAAAGGTCCAAAGGAGGACCATGAAGATGACCAAAGGGCTGGAGAACATACCCTATGGAGAAAGACTGAAGGACAATTTTCCAGTTGTTAAACAGTGTCTAGAAAGATGGCAGAAACCCTCTTGACAGTGAGCCACATGGAGAATAGAAGGGGCAGTAGAATTGTAAAATGGTTGGGCTGAAAGGGAGCTTGAAGATCATTTAGGACCAACCCCCTGCCATGAGCAGGAATACCTTCCACTAGACCAGGTTGCTCCAACCCCCATCCAGCCTGGTCTTGAGCAGTGCTGGGGTAGGGAATCCACAGATTTTGTGGGTAGTGTAATAGAATAGRTTCATTAAGACAGGAAAAGGACCTCTGAGATCAAGTCCAACCTTTAACCGAACACCACCATGACAACTCGACCATGGCATTAAGAGTCACGTGCTATCATTTCTTGAGCACCTCCAGGGATGGTGACTCCACCACTGCCCTGAGCAGTCTGCACCAATGTCTGGCAACCCTTTTCATGAAGAAATTCTTCCTGATACCCAACCTGAACCTCCCCTGGCACAGCTCTTTGCTATYTTGGGAAGGTAGTGAGCAAAGATCCTCTTATCTGACAGATGGACCCTGGTAGGTACAGGTTCTCAAGGTGGGTCACATGGTATGTAGAAGTTGCACGGGGAAATGTTTTGTCTTGACATAATTCTTTTAAGGTGAGAAGAATGGTCAATCACTGGAAAACATGARTCCCCATCATGGTAGATTTTCGAGATGTGGGTGGACAGGATGCTGGATAATTTCATCTAGGCTCCCTTTCTCACAAAAGGTTGGACCTTTTGTGTTTTGATGTTTTGAGGTCTTTTCCAGTCTTGCCTATTCTGTGATTCCGTAGTTCTATGACTAACTCAAAATAGGAAGTGGGAATAATTTTTCAGGCTTGGTCTAAGTGAAATTGGATTTTGTTTGGAGCAAGTCCATTGTTGATTACTGATGTCAYCAATGTAGGTGTTGAGAGAATGCGTGAGTAAGAATTTGAACTCCGTGCATTACCATAAGTTAGGCTGATGATTGAGGGGATAAAAAAAGGTAATGGAACACCAGCACTTCATGATAACTTGGGTGGTGACTTTGAACTGCTCTTGTCATTTTTTATGGGTTTGGACTTTTTCTGTTCTTTCACATGATAAAGAAATGGCTGTTCTCAACATTAATTGATGAAAGATCAAATATGATTTTTTTTTTGTTTTAACTTTGTGCAGGATGGTATTTTTTAATAAGCTAGTTTCARCTCTATGTGTCATATTTGTACTGAGTAAAGTTTTGCATTGTGTCAATAGTAACACAAACTTTTGTTACAGAATCTAAACAAATTACAATACCCCTTACCTTTGTATGTGACCTTCAGGCTTAAAACACRAGAGTATTTAAGTGGCCTTTGTGGTAACTGATAGTAAGGAATACTCAATGGTTATGAAATTCCTGTGCCAGTTGGGATAGAATATTTTATTGGTGAAATACTGTAGATCTATTTTTTTATCCATCTTTAGATTTTCATAGACTACATACAAAGAATTGCTGCAAAACAGTAATATGCATTTGCAAGAATAAATTTCCTGACTTCTTTGTGGATTAAAGAACTAAACATGATTGTTTTACTAAAATTTACTTAATATTTTTAAAGAAACAAATTTTAAATACATTAACTGCTTATCTTTATAAAATTTTACCTGCCTAACCTTGATCACTATTTTGAAAGTAAGAAATTTTAAATGTTTAAGATTTTAAAGGATCATAACTTTTAAATAGATTGCTTTCTTGTTTCTTGAGGTTTTTGCTATTTCCTGCATTTTTGTTTTCCAGTCATCTTCCTGCTTTTTTCCCTTYATTTTTCAGGACAGACACCAAAACTAAATGCATTGTTAGATGCTTGAAAACTACATAAGCAGTGAGCGTTTGCTTTAATATGATGGTACAAATTGATTTGATCTATTTGATAATGACAGTCACAGTGAAAATGTAGTGACCTAATTCCTTGGTGGGTGGTGCTGGCGAATGCTGAGTGAAAGTTGAGGTCTGTGGAAGCACATAAACACTCAAGGTGTCTATGACCACCTCTAAGTACACCACTTCTTCCATTTAAATATTTTTCCCAAATTGAAACCATAAAGTTTAAGTGTGGGTAAGATATCACAGCTGCATTGTCATACATGCCGGGGTTACAGGCCAAAAATGGAAACATTTTTTGAATGCTAAGAGGTGAATACAGTGGAAGATACCAGTGGGGTTTTTTTACAAAGGTGGAATTTGATAGTATTTGAGAAGCCTTCAATTTCAGCATAAAACACAAGGGCTCAGTAGGTGCTGGCTAGGAGTATAGTATGTTATGACCGCAGGGTTCTGCAGTGAAGAAAATAGCAGGATCCTGGCTGTCATTAGTAATGAGAATAATCAATTGTTAGAAGTTAAAAAATCTGTCTCCAGAATGTTACTCACCCATTGTTGGTCCCTTAAAAATCTAGGCAGTAACAATGCACATTGGAGAATGCTGAGCTTAATCTGCAAATTGTTGCATAATCAGAAAGTGCTCTTGAAGGATAAAATGGTGTCTTACAGCAAAATTACATGCCACTGTGACTCACAGAGAAACTAGCAAATGAGTGAAGTTACATATAATTTTTGCATCCTGGGAGAAGAATTTATTAGGTATTCACTCATCTTGCTATAAATAGATTTTTTTTATGTTGGACTAAGAAAAGAGATCATAGAATCACAGAATATCCTGCACTGTGAGGGACCCCCAGAGATCATCAGTCCAGCTCCTTGACCTGCACAGAACAGCCCCAAGAATCACACCATGTGCCTGGGAGCATTGTCCAAACACTTC